TGTACACGCACATGTGCCCAGCATGAGTCTCAAATCACTGGGTACAGGACTCATACCATCGTCAGCCATATGGGAGTCCAGTGATGCCAGCATTACACCATCCACTGGTCCCCATAAGACCAGAATTGAATAAGAGGTGGCTCAAGGGACCATGAGATTTTGTAAGAGAATGTGACTGACAAATTGAGTTAGGGAAGCCTTCCATGAAAAGGAGGAGGGACGCTGCTGGTGCTGAGTGCCTTCCGACATCTGATTCAGGAGAGATTGAATAACGTGAATCTCCCTTCTGCTGTCCAGCTGTGGTTTGCCAAGGAAGGGAAGGCAAGGAGAAACTCACATTAACTGAACACTGACAGTATGCCAGCTGCTGTAACCTGTTCTACCCTCAGAACAACCCTGGGAGGCAGGTGCCATTGGAAATCCTATTTTTATAGATGAGGAAGCCAAGAGGTGAAGTGCTTTGTCCAAGGTTGCAGAGGTGGTTAGTGGGGCAACTTAATGGCATGGTTGCAGAGGTGGTTAGTGGGGCAGGTTAATGGCACGGTTGCAGGGGTGGTTAATAGCATTCAAGTTACCAGAAGCTACTACCAAATGCAAGCAGCATCTACTCTTGAATCGGTGGCTGGGGACATTAGCAGAAATTCTCTTCTCTTCTCACCTCTGTGGCCTGTGCCTTTTCTGTGTCTATCCATGTTTGACTTCTAAGCCATCCCTCCTCAGTGAGGCACCAGATAAATCACTCCTTTAGTACACACAACGGGACTTCAAAAATATGTGGAAAAATGGAATTAAAGTATAAGTTTATTTATAGTTTTTTTATAATACTTTTTTTAAATTAATTAATTTTTTTTTTTGGAGAGGTTTTTACTATAGGGCGCGTGCGCTCACCAGACAGACAGAGAGAGACATAGAGACAGAAAGCGAGAAATCACCCCCCAGGGGGGATGGTCACGCCACAACCCCTTCTCCTCCATTCTCCTCTCGGGATCTTGGGCACGCACGCACATGCGCCCAGCGTGAGTTTTAAGCCACCGGGTCCGGGACGCGAACTACGGTCGACTATGTGGGAGTCCAGCGACATAACCATTACGCTAACTGCTGGTTCCCTATAATACTTTATTTTTTATTGCCAGACACTGCATATGCTAAGAGAGAGAGAGCGAACACCCCCAATGGGGTGGGGTCACACTGTAATGCCTTCTCTACTTCTCCATCCTGATGGTTTTTGAGGCACACACACACACACACACACACACACACATGTGTCTTTCTCAAGCTACTGGGGCTGGGATCCAAACCACCTGTGGGCATATTCAAGGTCATGGCTTCCCATCTTCTGTTCACACTTTATGAATAGATATACAGGATGGCACCGTCCCCATAACTCCGTGGTTAAGGGGAGCCAGATCTCACAAGTCTGGCCACTGTTTGAATTCCAGCTCTAGTGACTTGAAAAACGTGCTGGGGCCTGTGTGCACATGCCTCTCAAATCCTAAGACAGAGAAATGAAGAAGGGTTTGTGATGTGACCACACCCTATTGGAAGGTGGTTTCTCCTTATTCTTCTCTATCTCTCTTGTGAGCACACATGCTCTCTGACAATTAAAAAATAAAACAAAATCGGGACCAGCAGGTGGTGTGGTGGTTAAGGCGCTGGACACTCCCACATGGCCGACCAGGGTTCAAGTCCTGAATCTGGTGGCTTACTTTCTCACTTCCTCTCTTTCTCACTCTCACCCTCTGGCTCTCTCTGGTCAAACTAAAAAATAAGTGAATGAATAAATAAAATAAAATAAATAATTATAAAATAAAAAAATAAAATAAAACAAAACCAAAAACCAATGTACCTTTTCAGGCCCCACCTCAGAAAAATGGAACCGGAAACTCTAAAGGTAGGGCACCACGTTCTGTGTTATTAGGCTTTCCAGGTGATTCTGACACACTAAAATTTGAGCAGCCTTGAGCTAAGAGAGAAGACTCAGACAAATACTTTACATTTATACTAAGGTAAAATCCATCCAAAGAAAAATGCTGTTCAATATCTATAGCACATTACTTAGAAAATTTCATAGTGACTAGTGAGAAAATTAATGGTAAAGGTTCTAGTTCCACCAACATGTAGACTTGGTCATAGAAATCTTCCTACTGTTAAAATTAATTTTTTTTGAAATGCTGACATGTGAAAAAGTAAAAGAAATCTTAAGGTCCTAAGGGTGAAGGAGTTCAGGGCCAACCAGCAGTATGGTGGTTAGGGCGACTGGATCCCCACAAGAGCAACTGCGCCCATGATTTAAGTCCCAGACCTGGAGGTTTGAGAGACATTCTTGGTGTGTGTGTGCCACTCAAAATCCTGAGAGGAGGGAGAAATTAAGGAGAAGGGGCTGTGGTGTGATTATTCTTCATGTGGGGATGCTTTTTCACTTTCCATACCTATGTCTCTGGCGAATGCCCTCTGACAAAAATTTTAAAAATAAAAAATGGAGAAGTTGACAAAAGCAGTAAACTGGGGAGTTGACATCGTGGCTGTGGGAATAGGATGGGAAGGGATAGGTGAAGTTATGAGCTTGTGGCACTGAACTTACCAGTAATCTACAGGCTTGGGTTTTTGTTCCTTTTTTTTTTTAGAACATAATTCATATTATTATAGACATTTGTAGTTTACAAAGCACTTTCATGGAAATGATGTGTACTATAGAGTAATACATGCTGGGAGCTGTAGTTTGGTAAAAGGCTACACTGGTTTAGGAAGGCTTCTGGAAGGAAATGTTTTGTTTTGTTTTGTTTTGCCATAGGGCATATGTGCTTTCCAGAGAAAGAGAAAGAAAGCGAGAAATTGCTCTCTGGAGGGACAATCACACTATAACCCCTTTTTCTCCATTCTCCTCTCAGGATTTTGGGCATGCACGCACATGTGCCCAGTCTGATTTTCAAGCCACTGGGCCCAGGCCTCAAACCATAGTCAACCATGTGGGAATCCAGTGCCTTAACCACCACACCACCTGCCAACTCCAGGAAGTGACTTTTTTTATTGAAATCAAATAAATATGAAGAAAATTGTTTCACAAAGTATTATTATTATTATTTTAGAGAGATTTTTGCTATAGGGCACGTGCACTCTCCAGAGAGATAGACAGAAAGCAAGAAATCACCCCCTAGGGGGGATGGCCATGCCACATTCCCTTCTCCTTCATTCTCCTCTTGGGATCTTGGGCATGCATGCACATGTGCCTAGCATGAGTTTCTTTCTTTAATTAATTAATTTATTATATTATTATTCATACATTAAATCGCAATACATCACTTAGATTGTGAAGAGGCTTTACCCAGCATGATATACACCTCAGCCCAGTTGAGACCACCATATACAACCTTGTCAACAGATAATAAATCTTATCTGTGTCCCACAAGTGTCTTACCTCTCCAAGCCACTGGGTTCAGGACTCAAACCGTCATTGGCTATGTGGGAGTCCAGTGACATAACCATTACTCCATCTGCTGGTCCCCACAAAGTATTTTTTTAATCAGTGTAGCCTGCATTCCCCCATGACCACCTGATACTTGCCTTATGAGCACTGTCAAAAGAAGGGTCATAGACATGTGCCAGTCCTTGGCCTACTAGGAACTGGGCTACACAGCAGGAGGTGAGCTGCAGGCAAGGAAGCAAAGCTTCATTTGTATTTACAGCTGCTCCCCATCACTTGCATTACAGCCTGAGCTCTGCCTCCTGTCATATCAGCAGCCACGTCAGATTCTCATAGGAACACAAACCATATTGTGAACTGCGCATATGAGGGATCTAGCCTTCATGCTCCTTGTGAGAATCTAATGTCCAATGATCTGAGATAGAGCTGAGGTATTGATGCTAGTGCTGGGGAGTGGCTGCAAATACTACATTATGGTGAGTTGTATATATAATTATTTCATTATGTAATAATAGAAATAAAGTGCACTGGAACCAGCAAATGGCATAATGCTTATGTCACTGGACTCTCATGTAGTTGACCAGCAGTTTGAGTCCCAGACTCAACATGGGGACTTAAAATTCACACTGGGTGTGTGTGTGCATGCCCAAACGGAGGAGAAGGGATTGTGGCATGGTCATCCCCCAGGAGGTAATTTCTTGCTTTCTACCTCTCTGTCTCTCCAGTCAGTGCACGCACCCTATAGCCAAAATCTCTCAAAAGAAAAAAAAAAGAAAGTGCACCATAAATGTAATGTGCTTGGATCATTCTGAAATCATCACCCAACCCCTGGTCCATGGAAAAATTGTCAACTAAACTGGTTCCTGGTGCCAAAAATGTTAGGGACCACTGCTATAGAGAATATAAAGAGGTCTGAGTTGAAATTACACAACTGGAGAGAGGGTAACACATAAATTATATTTAAAACCCTCTCTAGATCCTTGTTTACTTATGCCATAAATATTTATTAAATTATTTTAAATCTGGGACCAGCATATGGCATAGCTATTACATCTCTGGACTCCCACATGGCTGACTGTATTTCAAGTCCCAGACCTGCTGGCTTGAAAATCACACTGGGTCCATGTGCATGTATACATGCCCAAGATCTCAGGAGGAGAATGAAAGAGAAGGGATTGTCACATGGCCAAGCCCCCTGGGAGGTGATTTCTCACTTTCCTTCTCACTGTCTCTGTCTCTCTGGTGAGTGCATGCACCCTGAGACAAAAACCTCTTTAAAAAATGATTCTAGGGACCAGTAGATGGCATGGTGGTTAAGACGCTGGACACTCCCACCTGGCCGACCATAGTGGCTTGCTTTCTCATTTTCCCTCTCTCTCTCTGTCTCTTGGGTCAAATTAAAATGAATGAATGAATGAATAAAATTAAATAAATAATTCTAAAAAAATTATTCTAAATCTTAGGGATGCAGAGATAAAGAGAGTCTGTCCTCATGGATCTTACATTCAGTGTAGGTTGTTTGAGTATCAAAGGTGGCAGCTTTTTTCAGGCTGGCTAATGGAGGGAGGTCACAATGTGTACTTTGTGATGAGATCTATGATATAAGTGGGATGACACCAAGGGCCTCACTTAGAGGATACACCACATATCATCTCTCCACCCTGGCATCTTCATCGCAGGCCCAAGTCTTCCTTGGGGGGTAAGCAGATGGAGAGGGAGGCAAAGGATGAAGGAGGGGTGTGGTGAAGGGTTGGGAAGTTGCTGAGGCCAGCAGGACAGAGGGATGCTGGTGCTGTCTGTGGCCTCAAACCCTTATCCTTCTAGGTAGAGAAGCCAGTCTGCCTCCTGCCATAGGAGCCATTGCTTGGACCAGATATGAAGTGCTGGTGGCAGATTTTTGTCCTGTGGGTCTTTTGGGTGCTCATCTTGTGGTGGATGGCCCCCTACCTGGATTTGACACCTGAATTAGCACTCCGGGAAAAACAGGTGTATTTGGTATCACAGCCTTGCAACTGCCCTTGGTTCAAACTTGGGACATGTGGCTGCCCTTCTGGGACCCTCAACTGCTCCTTTTGCCTCCATAAGGAAAGAAAATGGGACTGGTTTCACACGTGCTACGAGAAGACCATGAGATACCTGATGAGGACAGGAGAGTCTGTGACCTCTGACACTGTGCTCTGGTGGTTGGTTAGTGGTCAGCCCTGGGCCCATTCCCATTCCCTCCCCTTTCCAGGCCTACACCATCTCCCACTTCCTGCTCATCCCTGGCTGAGTGCATCTCTCATCTTCACAGCCTAAGCCCCCAATCTCTGGATGGGGATCTCACCTGCCCAGGTCTGCTTTCCTTTCACTGGGAGCCGATATCTGGGCCCCCAATTCCCTCCCTCCTGCTGTGTTCAGGGCGAAGTGTGGAAGAAACTGTCAAAAATGATTCCCAGATCTTTGGTGAGCCATTTTGAGTTCTACTGTGGGACTTGTGCACTGTTGGGGAACTCTCACATCGTGCAGGACTCCAGCCTTAGCAACAGCATTGACCAACACCCAGTGGTCTTCAGGTGGGTGCTGAGTAGAGGTCAGGAGCGAACAGGTCAGGCCTCCCCCCAGAGTTCTCAGTTTCTGCTTTCCTTCCTAGGATGAACCAGGCCCCTGCCCAGGGCTTTGAGATGAATATGGGGAATCGAATCTCAGGGCACTTCATTTGTCCCAGTAACTCCAGCAATCAGCGTTACTGGAGGCAGCTGGTGCGTCTGTTGCTGAGGCTTTCTGATCTGGCATGGACTTCAGACACTCTGAATGACGAGGTGACGGAGATGTCTCCAGACATTCTCACTGTGGGAGGCAAGGGGAGATCTCACTACAGGAGGAGATAATGGTGTCTCATTGGTGCTATCTGCATGATTTATTAGGTTGTGGGGCTGTGAAATTCTCTCACTTCTAATTTTTTTGGTAGATTTGGGAAGATGGTCTGGTTCCCTGGTGGAGTGGAAAATAGCAAAGACAAGGTGAGGGGATAGGGAAGGAGTAGGATGTGGCTATGGGTGAAACCCCAGATCAAATGCCTCCCCTTTCTTCCCCAAGTACAACCAGGGCCAGTATCCATCCCTGGCTCACTCTGTTTTCTGTCTTATACACTTGTGCCCAGGCAGGAAATATTCTTTTTTTTTTTTTGGAGAGGTTTTTGCTATAGGGCGCGTACACTCGCCAGACAGAGAGACAGAAAGTGAGAAATCATCCCCCAAGGGGGATGGCCACGCCGCAATCCCTTCTCCTCTTGGGATCTTGGGCATGCACGCACATTGCCCGGCGTGAGTTTTAAGCCACTGGGTCCGGGACACGAACCACGGTTGATTACATGGGAGTCCAGGGACATAGCCATTATGCTAACTGCTGGTCCCAAGGCAGGAAATATTCTTAAACCTTACTCACTTAGAACTTCAGTTTCCCAATGTCTTCAGTGTAGACTTCAAAGTCTTCTACCTGGCTTTTGAGATCCTGCATGATCTGATCTCTCCCTTGCTTTTTCTGTCTCAGGCTCCATACTGGGCTTCTTGGGGTTTTCACACCAGCCACCTCATGTCTTCTCACATGCTATTCCCTCTACCTGAAATGCCTTTCTCTTATCTTTCTGGGAAACCCTCTTTTTCCTCTGGTATAATAGGGAGCAGCTAGTTGATGCTCTCTTTTTTGGCTCCTGAATGACTCTGTGAGCATGTTTATTTCCTTGTGTTCAGATCCTGTTTTCCCTGAAGAAGATGAGCTCCGTTCTCCTCTCAGCTCTCTGAGGCAACCTGTCATACTAGATGTGAATGAGGGGGGAGGTGTGGGTAAAGACAGAATTCAGCCTGCTGACACATACATGTCTTTTCCACCAGGTCTCCCTTTTTGGATTTGGATCAGAATAGTAAGGAAAGTGGTTCTAATACTGGGAGGAGAATAATCAGACCACCGGCTCTAAGGAAATATTATTCATGCACAATACAGAAGCAGAAATGGTAGCTGCCCATCAGCTACAGTGTGTGGATAAGCTCCCTGTCTCCACATGCTGCCCATTCGAGTCTGTACAAATCCTAGTTCTTTGGCTCTGAATGCATGGGAGTTTTGGGATTGCTGAAGCAACAGAAACAGCAGCAGGACTGTGAAGACTTTTAGGGGCAAAGAGCAAGAGGAAATTGTACAGAGATCAGTTTGGTACTGAATAAAATCCTGGCCGGATTCTTTTTCCTGCAAGCATATTGTCCAGGAAGGAAGGGTCAACATTGATTTCTATATCTCAGGGGCAATATTTATGTTAATTTCTCTGCTAGACCTACTGGATCATGTAGAAGTTTTTAAAAAATTTTATTTGCTGCTATTATTGTTATTTAATTTGCTATCAGGGACATGCAACCACCAGAGAGAGAGGAAGTGAGAAAGCAAGCTGCCAGGTCTGTGACCCAAACCATGGTTGGCCATGTGGGAGTCCAGTATCTTTACCACCCTGTCACCTGCTGGCCCCTAGAAATTTTAATTTAGACTCAGATCCATGTAAAGTACAAACATAAATTTGGAGTTGTTGAGAGTCTCAGATAAAATAAGCTTTGTATCAACCGTGCAGGAAGATGGACGTTTTCCCACTTTTTCATTGAGGTTTCAGCATTTTATGGCTCTCATGTTTATTTTTTGTTTTGTTTTGTTTTTGAGAAGTTTTTGCTATAGAGCACATGCGCTTGCCAGAAAGACAGAGACAGAGAGACAGAAAGTGAGAAATCACCCCCCAGGGAGGATGGCCATGCCACAATCCCTTCTCTTCCATTCTCCTCTCAGGATCTTGGGCATGCATGTACATGTGCCCAGTGTGAATTTAAGCCACCGGGTCTGGGACTCAAACCATGGTCGACTATGTGGTAGTCCAGTGACACAGCTATTATGCTATCTGCTGGTCCCTCTCCGGTTTTTTTGAACCTTCAGTTTTAGTTCTCTGCCTCCTCCAAGCTTAAGGGCTTCTGCCCACATGGGCATCAAAATTGCTAGGGACTTCCTGTTTTTTCTTCTAACTTTTGCTCAGCATTTAAGAGAAATTTTATTTAAACAATATATATGTATAATTTTGTAAAATTTCCAATTAACTCAAGATGGATATAAAGATATGGTATTAGGAAGTGGGATGGATTTGAATGATAACGTATGTTAGTATCTGCTTCTGGGACTGGTCGGTTGGGGAAAAGAGGTGGATACTTTCTTTTCATTTAATTTTTGTACCTTTTGGATTATGTACCACAGACTTGTATTATACATTTAAAGACAAGTACAACTTTAAAACTTTAATATTTAAAACACAATATTATGTTTTGCCCAGAAGTTCTGGCATTTGTAGTAGGAGAGTTTTCAGGATATTTATTTACTTTTTATTATTGCTGGAGGGCATATGCACTCACCAGAGCAGAGAGAGAGAGGAAGCATCTCCCAATGAAACATGGTTATGCCACAATCCTTTTTCCTCCATTTCTCCATTCCATTAGGATTTGGGGCACACATGTGCACATGCCCAATTTTTTTTTTTTTTTTTTAAGCTTCCAGGACTGGCATTTGAATTGTTGTCAGGCATGTGGGATCCAGTTCCCAATGCACAGCATTTAATCACTGTGTTATGGGACGAGAGGGTGTGTGCACTCAATGGAGAGAAACAGAGAGGGAAAATGAAAAAACATTCCCAATAGGGGTTCGTCACACCACTTAGCTTCTCCATTTATCTCTCTTTTTGAACTTTTGGGCATGTATGCACATGTGCCTGGTATGTTTTTCCATCCACCAGGTCCAGGACTCAAACTGCACAGTTGGCTGTGTGGGATCCAATCGCCTTAACCACCATGCCACTGGCCAGCACCAGGTTATCTTTTCATTCATTCTTTGCTAGAATGGGAACCAAAATTAAGTCTTATAGCTATTCTGTTGTTCCCTGAACTGGCTGCTTCTAGGTAAGGCCAGTATGTGCCATTTTTTTTAAAAATCAAATGCTTAGCTTTATTTAGACAGAAATAATCAAGTATGTAATATAACCCTTGGTTTTATTTTTACTTAACCCTGTGAGTACTTCACAAAAATATATGTACAGAAGTAAATAAAACTATACAATCAAACTAAATAACCAGCAGATACAACAAGTAGTCAGAGGTTCAGTGGTGGGTAAGTGGTTGATGAGGCTGCCTGCATAATTGAGTGAATTCCCTGGGCAGTAGCTGCTGCCTTATTCCTTACACTGAACAGCATACCACGATGGAGGGTAAGGCATCTGCGGCCACAGAACATGGGGCTTCTCAGAGTGACGCACAGGTAGCGGAAGCTCATATGCAGAGTAAGTATCTTTTTTCAGTAAGGACAAATTGCTGTTGGCTGAGTGGCTGGTCCGCATGATATAGTTTACAGGGCCAGCAGGTGGCATTGTGGTTAAGGCGCTGGAGGGCCACTTGGTTGACGGAAGTATGAGTCTCAGTCTCGGACCTGGTGACTTGCTTTCTCACTTCCTCTCTCTCATGCATATGCCCTAGAGCAAATTGAAAGAAAAAAAAATAGGGGCCAGCAGGGTGTAGTGGTTACATTGCTGGACTCCCACATGAACAAATGTGGTTTGAGTCCTGGATCCAGTGGCTTGAAAAATGCCGGGTACATATGTGAGTGTGCCCAAGATTCCAGGAGGGGTTGCAGCATGGCCATCCCCTTTGAAGGGTGATTTCTCACTTTTCCTCTCACTGTCTCTGACTCTCTCTCCAGCAACCACATACACCCTAAGGCAAAAAAATCTAAAAAAAAAAAAATTAAATAATTGACTCTTTTCTTAAAAAAATCTTTTCTTACTATGTAAGAAAACTTTTAAAAATATGGAACCAGCATATGGAAAACTTCATGTCACTGGACTCTCACCTGGACAACCATGGTTTGATTCAGACCCAGTGGCTTCAAAATCACACCAGTCATATGTGCATGGGTACCCAAGATTCCGAGAGAAGAATGAAGAAGAGATTGCGGTGTGACCATCCCCTATGGGGGATGATTTTTCACTTTCTGTCTGTCTGTCTCTCTGGTGAGTGTGCATGCCATATAGCAAAAATCTCTCTCTAAAATAAATAAATAATAATGTGCATGTATTTACCTTGGTAACAATTCTGAAAAAATCAACTTCTGGGAAGTTCTAAGGTTGAATGTATCAAATAGTCACTTTCATCAATAATGATAAAAGCTCTCTGCCTCAGGAGGTTCTGAACAGCCCTTCCTTTTCTCTCTCTGCCTCCTGCCCATCCACACCAGTTTTGATGTGTATCCTCTCCTTCCTCACCAGCCTGTCCCTTTGGCTCTTGACGTCCAAGCCTCCCTTGTCATATGGGCTTGGGGCTAAACGCCAAAGTGAAAGGGGGAGCCTTGTCCATAAGCCTACATGGAGGAGGTCACAATATGGCCTCTGTGATGAAATCCCTGCCATAGCGGGGCTGGCAAGGTAGACCCTATTGGACATCAGTCTTGTTGGGAAGGACACAGGGCACAAGAAGTGTCACCTCTCTCTTTCTTTTCAGTCCCTAGCCTGGATCGTAACAACTCCTTTTGGTGGTTAGCAGGTGGCTAAGGAGGCCAAGGGTAAGGTGTTGAGAGATAGTGTGAAGGGCTGGGAGAAGGATGGAAGCCATAAGGATGGGAGATGTTGGGAATGTGTGGCTCCAACCCTTCCTCCTTCCCAGTGCCAGATCTCAGAGCTAACCTATTGTTTGCCAGGGGTACCATCATCAGGGCCAGAGATGAGGATTCGATTCTGGAATCTGGGTCTGGGAGCCGCCTGTATACTTTCATTGTGGCTGATAGTCTCCATCTTGAGCCAGAAGTCGAGCCAGAATTCCAGCCTGAACAACCTCTATAAAATGACCAGAATGCACTTGAAACCCTGCCACTGTCCCAGAAACTTTTCCAATAAGTGTGGCTGCTCACATATGGCCCACAAGTGCTCGGTCTGCGTCCACATGCCTGGTGATTCTGATTGGTTTGACGAACACTACGAAAGGGCCATTGAACCCCTGCAGAAGACAGATGAGCCCATGTCCTATGATGCTCTGGTATTGTGGCTGGTCAGTGCACGATTTTGGTTTCTGCCCAGTCCTTGACCCCAGCCCCAGGCCTCAGCCATTTCTCCTCCATGGTCCTAGGCTCTAACCTTCTACAGGTAGCTGAGCTAAACTCCTAAATTCCTCCCTTCTCTGGTCCTAGGGACTTGAGACAATCAAGTCAGAGGAGATTAAGAATAAGCAAAAACAGCTGGCTGAAACACCGCCCAGACACTCACGGGCCCATGTGGTGCCCAAATGCCAGACTTGTGCAGTAGTGGGAAATTCAATGTCCCTACGGGGCTCCGGCTTTGGCTTCCAGATTAACCAACATGATGTGATCCTCAGGTGGGTGCAGCATGGGAGATGGGAACCCGGAAGTACAGGCCATCATCTTCCTCCAAATGACCACCCTGCCCTCCTTTCCAGGATGAACCAGGCCCCTGTCCAAGGCTTTGAGAGAGATGTGGGAAGCATGACCACCATGCGCATTATGTACCTCCAGACTGTCAGCACTCAGGATCTCCACACCCAGCTGCTACTGCTGCCACTGAATTCGTCAGGCGTGCAGTGGTTCCTTGATGCAGTGCACAACCAGAAAATTATCTGGAAGCCAAGAAACCCTGGGTGCGGCGGTGAGGGGGTCAAGAACACCCTTAGTGAATAATGAGGACTGGGAGCTGCTGTGTCAAATGTCTCTGAAATACCCCTACTATAATCCCTTTTTAGATATCAGATGGTCCAGGTCCCTGATGCAATAAAAGACAAGGTGAGGAACTCAGGGAGGAAAAGGAAACGGGTAAGCCATAGGACAGGCTTCAGGTCAGCACCCTCCTCCATTTTCCTTAGGTACAGGTGATCAGCCTCTCCTTCCTCAAGTATATCCAGGAAAACTGGCTGGAAGACCACAGTCACTATCCGTCTTTGGGGTTTGTGGCACTGTTGTATGCCTTGCACACCTGTGACCAAGTAAGATATCTTGTGCAACTCACAGACCTTTATTCCTTTGCCACTAAAAATTTGTCTTCCCAGGAACTTCATGTTAAATATAAAGTTCTCTACCTGGTTTTCAAGACCCTGTATATGAACCTTTTCTCCCAGGCACCCACACTAGGCTTCTTGAGGTTCCCCAAACATACCTGTTGCCTCCTACCTTCTCACATGCTGTTCCCTCTACCTGGAATGCCTTTCTTCTGTCTCCTGGGGGAATCCTTTCTTCCCTTGGTGTGGAGAAACAGATAGCTGATGCTTTCTTTTCTGGAATCTGGGGTCGCTTTGTGAGTATTCAGTCTTACCTGGAAAAGGTGAGCTCCGTTTCCTCCCAGTTCCTGAAGGAAGGCTGGAACACTAGAAATGGAATGTTTGCTGAAAGAATGGTAGGTGAGCATGGAGGCAGGCCAGGGTCCAGCCTGCTACCCTGTCTTATCCCATCTTCCAGGTATCCTTGTTTGGTTTTGGGGCAGACAGTTTGAAAAGGTGGTCCCATTACTGGGACGGTAAGTATTTGTTCAAGAACACCATGGAAAAATTTCCAGCAGAGCACCAGATCATCCTTAAGCTGCAGTGTGAGGGGAAGATTACTGTCTACAGCTGAGATAGTGCCACAGGAAGTCCCAGGAGGCTCACAAGTAGCCAAGGGGACCTTGGAATGTCAGAGAGGAACTGGAGTTTCTAGCAAACCCTGGATGGAGATCTCTCCACTGTGAATAAAGCCCTTGCTTATTTCTCTCACTGGATTGCTGGTGGCATTAAAGGGCTATGTGCTATTACTGATCTTAACAGCAAACCTATCACCATGTGACTCATACTTGTACTGTATTAAAACATAAGATTATGGGACCAGCAGTTAGCGTAATGGCTATGTTGTTGGATTCCCATGTAGTCGACCGTGGTTCAAATCCTGGACCCGGCGGCTTAAACTTATGCTGGGTGCGTGTGCGTGTTGCCCAAGATCCCGAGAGGAGAATGGAGGAGAAGGGATTGCGGTGTGGCCATCCCCCCTGGGGGGTGATTTCTCCCTTTCTTTCTCTCTGTCTCTCTCTTGTCTTTCTGGCGAGCGCACATGCCCTGTAGCAAAAACCTCTCCAAAAAAAAAGAAAAAAAAAAAGAAAAAAAAACAACATAAGATTATATGAGAAGGAGAAAAAAGCAAACCCTAAAGTTGAAAATGAATCAACTAAACCTATCTGTGTATCAAACTGCAAACATAACTGGGGCCAGAGCAGCGGTAAATACAATGCTCTTCGAGACTGATCCACAGGGAAGGTTCCAGGTCCAAGTCCAGAGACCTCCTTGAGTATACCAGGCATGCACATGCCCATCATCTGGGGCTGGCTGAGGCTGGGGATGGATCACAGTGTCAAGTCCTGGTTGGGGGTGCTTCTCTCTAAAGAAATAACGTACAAAGTTTTGTCAGTGGGCTTATGTGCTCACCAGAGAGAGACAGAGAGGAAGAAAACACCTTTCACTGGGGCATGGTCATGCTGCAACCCCTATCCCTCCATTTCTCCCCACTCTTGGGATTTTGGGCATGCATTCACACATACCTGGCCTGTTTCTCTGCCCTTTGAAGCTGTAATTCAAACCAGGCAGTTAGTCATGTGGGATCAGGCTCCCTTAACCACGCTAAAAGGCCAACCTAAAATAACTAACTTTTGAAAATTGATAACATGACCACCAGGGAAAGTATTACTATAAGTTCTTTTAAAATTCAATACAGTACAGACCAGCAGATGGCATAACAGTTATGTTGCTGGCTTCTCACATTAGTCAACCGTAGTTCAAGTCCTGGACCTGGCGGCTTCGAACTCACACCCAGTGTGTATGTGTGAGTGACCAAGAGACCAAGAGGAGAATGAAAGAGAAGGCATTATGGCCTGCCCATCCCCCCAGGGGGTGGTTTCTTGCTTTGTCTTTCTGTCTCTGCAGTGAAAGAGGGAAACGCCCTATATTCTTTGCACCCTATAGCAAAAAACCTCTTAAAAAAATTCAACACACTGACTATACATACTTTGTAGACTATTTCTGTGGCCAAAAATAACTACAAAGAAAGTTTAAACTTTACCCAGTAGACATATTATGGCGTCGGTATAATTTTTTAAAAAACTATATTATGGGGACAAGCAGGTGGCGTGATTATTATGTCACTGGACTCGCACATAGTCAACGGTAGTTTGAGTCCTGGACCTGATAGCTTAAAACTCATGCTGAGTGAGTGTGCATGCATGCCAAAGATCCTGAGAGGAGAATAGAGGAGAAGGGATTACAGCATGGCCATCCTCCCACGGGGTGATTTCTTGCTTTGTCTGTCTCTCTGGTGAGTGCACATGCCCTGTCGCCAAAATCTCTCTTTTAAAAAAAGTGGGGGATAATTTGAGCATCAAAAGTAGTATTTGTCGAGATTCAGTGACTATATGTGGAATCTTCAAAAAGTTCATGGAAAAGCATACTCCCCTGCCTTCCCAAGAGCACTGTGGTGTACTCCATGTCTAGAAACAAGGTAGCTCAGAGCCAGAATCCAAGAATCCCTGAAGGCATGGGCAGGGTAGCACGTTGTTCCATATACTCAGTCCATCATGGCATCATATAAACATATAATTACTTACAAGAATAAAGTTAACCACCAGAAAAATACAGTTTAAAAAATGGACTGCCCAGGGCTGGCCCTGTAGTACATTAGTTAAATGCTGTGCACTGGGAGTCAGATCCCACATGGCCGACTGCTGTTTAAACCCTGGCCCTGGTGGTTTGAAATACACACTGGGCATGTGTACATGCAGCCCCAAATCCTGACAGGATGGAAATATGTAGGAAAATGTATTGTGGCATGACCACCTCTTTGGGAGCTGTTTTCACTCTCTCTGGCAACCATATGTCCTGTGATAATAATAGTCCTCTCCAGAGAGAGGATAGGAAAGAACAGGATGAGAAACTGCTGAGCCCCACCCCTTTCTTAATTTGCTATAGAGCATGTGTACTCACTAGAGAGAGAGAGAGAGAGAGAGAGAGAGAAAGTGAGAAAATAGCCCCTGGGGGTGGAGGGAGATAACCATGCTGCAGTCCCTTCTCCTCCATTCTCTTCTTGGGATTTTGGGCATGCACATACATGCGCTCAGCATGCTTTTCAAGCCCGCAGGTTGGGATCTCAACCACACAGTTGGCCATGTGGGATCCAGCCACCTTAACCACCATGCCACCCACTAGTCTTTATTTTTATTTAATTAAATTTATTTAAGGGAGAGGGAGATTTTTGCTATAGGGCGTGTGCACTTGCTGGAGAGACAAAGACAAAAAGCAAGAAATCACCTCTTGTGGGGAATGACTACTCCGCACTCTCCTCCATTCCCCTCTAGGGATTTTGGGCATGCATGCACAAGCATTTGGTGTGTTTTAAGCGGCCAGGCCCAGGACTCAAACCATGGTCAGCTACGTTGGAGTCCAGTACTGTAATTATTATGCCATCTATGGCCTTTATTTATTTTTTTTAGTTGTCAGAGGGCACATGCACTCACCAGAGACATAAGAGACAGAGAAGGGGAGAGGGAGAAAGCAGTCTTCAATTGGGTATGGTCATGCCATAATCCCTTCTCCATCCCCTCAGGATTCTGGGCATGAGCACTTGTTTTTCAAATCAGACACCAGGATATAGGCTGGCCCCTGCTGCCTTCTTTTCTATTAAACTTTTTAACCTTACGTGCATGCAATTATTTTTTTTTAAAGGTTTTTGCCTTAGCATGTATGCACTCGCTGGAGATAGAGAGACAGAGACAGTGAAAGGGAAAGTGAGAAATCACCTCCCCTCCAAGGGGAATGCCACGCCAACAATCCCTTCTTCTCTATTTTCCTTCTGGGATCTTGGGCACACATGCACACATGCCTGAAATGATTTCAAGCCACCAGGTCTGGGACTCGAACTGCTGTTGGCCATATGGGAATCCAGCAACATAACCATTTTGCCATCTGCTGGTCTCATCATTTTAAATAAATGAAAAAATTTATCAAAGAAAAAAATGTAGATTGATAGGAAATGTATTTTTCATCATATCACAGTGTTCCTACATATTCTTTCCTCAGGAGGAAACAAAGAGTTCTTCCCTTCCACCTCTCTGCCTCCTGCTTGACAGCCCTGCCCTGGTACTAGAAGGCATCTTCTGAGAGATGTACATACGCTTACCCCTTTTTATTCCTGTTTACCCCATGAGACTTGACTGCCAAGCCCTCCTGTCAGCTGGGTCCTGGACCGAGTGCCATGGTGAAAGCTGTTTCCTTCATGCAGGAGCTCACAATGATGCTTGTGTGCTAAGGTCCCTGATATCACTGGGCTGGCATGAAGGACTCTATTGGACATCAACCCTGGGAGGCCACAGAACATACTGTAGCCTCTCTCCTCCCTCCTCTGAGCCTCCAGCTCAGCCTTTAGCAGAGCACTCTGTAGGCCTTAACAGGTGGGTGGGGCTTAAGAGTTGAGGGAGTTTTAAAAATAATTTAAAAAGGGACCAGCAGTTGACATAATGGCTATGTCGCTGGATTCCCATGTAGTCGACTGTGGTTTGAGTTTCACACCCAGTGGCTTAAACTCACGCTGGGTGTGTGTGTATGTGAGCCCAAGATCCCGTGAGGAGAATGGAAGAGAAGGGATTGCGGCGTGACCATCTCTCCTGGGGGGTGATTTCTCGCTTTCTGTCTCTGGAATCTGTCACACCTTCCTCAGGTACATCTGTGAGAACAGGCTGGAAGGGTGGGGACAATCCCCACATGCTGGATTCACCACTCTGGTTATGCCCTGTGGATATGGCAAGGTGAAGGAAAGGAAGCTCTGGCCTTATACCCTGGGGTGAGGCTGGGTCTTCCCTAGAGGATCCACATTCCTCCTTCCTGCTTTTCCATTTCAGGTTTCCTTTTGGTTTTGGAGCTGATGATAAGAGCAGTTGGCACTATTACTGGTGGTACTCTCCACAGAGATCCAAGGAAAGGGTATTTTAGAAAGCTGTAACAGGCACCCGTGATTAATGTACTGGACTCTCACCTGGCTGACCACAGTTTGAGTCCCGAACCTGGTGGCTTGAAACTCATGTTGGGTGCATGTGAATGTGTGCCCGATCACAGGAGAATGGAGAAGGGATTGCAATGTGGCCATCCCCCCAAGGGGTGATTTCTCACGTTCCCTCTCACTGTCTCTCCAGTGAGCACACGTGCTCTAAGGCAAAAACCTCTCAAAAAAAAAGAAAGAAAGAAAGAAAAATATTCATGGTGGGCGCATGTGCATGTGTATCCAAAATCCCAGAAGGGGAATGGAAAAGAAGAGATTTTGGTGTGGTCATTCCCCCCTGGGGTGATTTCTCACTTTCTCTCTGTGTGTCCAGCAAGCATACGTGCCCCATAGCAAAAATCCCTCTGAAAAAAAAGAAAACTGGAAGAGAACACCACCACCAGCTAGAGTGTGAGGGCAACAGCACAGTCTACACTTGAACCGAAGGCTAACCCTGACCTGTGTGGTGGACGTGAGATGCTAGGCTGTGGTCTCTAAAGTGACTCTTGAGGGTTGGCTGGGGAGGGAAGAGCAAGTAGAGGATCGCTTAGGACTGAATAAATATTCCACTTGGAGGCCTCTAAAATGTCCTTCATCCACTGGATGCCCCATCCCAGACTCCCAGAAGGCATGTGGGGTTAGGCTCATAGCTTATGGATCACAGTATTGAGAAGAAACTCCAAGGTAAAGCAGAGCTCCTTTGGGTCAGAGAACCAGAGTTGGAGGATCAAAATAGTAAGAAAGCAAGAGAAGTCTTGTTTGTCCTCCTTGTACAGAAAAGGCCTAAAGGCCAGGTGAAGATTTTGAGCCACGGGGACTTTGACAGGAAGTAGGGGCAATGCCAGCATCTCTGGGTACCAGATCTGATTCTGGGGGATCTGAACCCTAATTTTCTGCTCAGCATCTGTTGCCAAGTTGCATGTGTGGGCTCTTTTTTTTTTTTTAAGAGATTTTTGCTATACTCATTGGAGAGACAGAGACAGAAAGAGAGAAATCACTCCCCAGGGGGAATGGCCACACCGCACTCTCTTCTTCTCCATTCTCCTTTCGGGATTTTGGGCATGTACACACATGCGCCCAGCATGTTTTAAGCTGCCAGCTCCGGGACTTGAATGGTGGTTGACCTTGTGGGAGTTCAGTGATATAACTATTATGCCATCTGCTAGTCTCCCACATGTGGGCTTTTGGAGCAGCCCGTTTCCACCCTGTGTGGGGTGGTACAATTGGGTCTGAGAACTAAGTTAGGTATAGGTAAACGGTTTGCTCCTCTCAAGTCCACATTCCTAGCTAGACTTTAGTTTTATCTCCAGGCTTAGACTCTGGTTAGAGTACAAAGTAGATCACTTGCTTTAAAGAAAACTGTTGGGGACCAGCAGTTAGCGTAATGGCTATGTCACCAGACTCCCACGTAGTCAACCGTGGTTCAAGTCCTGGACCCGATGGCTTAAACTCACGCTGGGTGCATGTGCGTGCATGCCCAAGATCCCAAGAGGAGAATGAAGGAGAAGGGATTGCGGTGTGGCCATCCCCCCGGGGGGTGATTTCTCACTTTCTGTCCCCTGTGTCTGGCGAACGCACATGCCCTATAGCAAAAACCTCTCCAAAGGAAAAAAAAAAAAAAAGAAAACTGTTTGGCCCAGCCCTGGTGCAATCAACAACATACTAGACTGCAGAGCAGGCAGGCACATGCCTATAGTGCGAGTCCTCGGCCCCATTATCCTGAAAATACTCTGGGCACCTGCATGTACACCCAGGACCTTAACCGGCTGGAGGAATGCAAGAGGGGGATTGCGGAGTCACTGAGCCCTCCAGAGGGCACTTCTTTTTCTTTCATGGATGCACATGTTTTTTCATGAATAAAAGAAAAAAGGTAACTGCTTTGAAGAAATGGCCAACCTGTGAGCTGCGTTTAGTCCGCACTGGCTCCACCAGGGCCAGGCCATTAATGACTAGTTCTGCCACAGTCCATCCTTCTGATTGCTTTGACTACAGGGACCAGAGTCAGTTCTAGTCTACCTGCCCAGGAAGAGACACCTTCTTTCCCAAGAAGGGTATGAGGACAGATGGGGTTTCTGAAGTCCAGAGGCTGACTTTAGTCACAGGTCAACTCAGTGTTTTTGAGGGCAAAGAACTTGTTTCAGGTCAGGAACACTGGATGGTTCCTCACTGCCCATGAGGTAGTACCAGAGGCCCTCCATATCGCTGCCCATTGAATTGGACCTTGGCCCCCACACTGCCACGGCCAGACCAGTCTCCTCTTTGGTGTGCTGAGTACCACCCCTAACTCCTCCCATGCTTCATGAGCCAGTTCATGCCTCCCTTCCTCAGTGCCTGCAATTCCTGCAGTATTTCTAGTCAGTACCTAACTGTTTCTGACTTGTTCATGCTAGTCTAGTCTTATCAAACTGAACTGCAGGGTCTCTGCCTATCTTCTATAACCTTTCCCT